ATATATATATATATATATATATATATGGTTGTCCCTAACATGGGCTGCATACGCATGGTTCTCCGTCTTCAAATTCACTGCATGATTCATGAAGAAATCATAAGAGGAGCTACTCCGTCGTTGCACTCAAAATTCGCTACTCCAAATACGGTTTGTTTTCCTGAAGCTGTCATTGAGAGACTGAGTGCTGTATTTTTTCTGAGTAAAACCAACTAACCCACACATGACAGCATTTGGTACTGGTTTGACGGAGCTTTCACCGTTTGTTTATTTTAGGAAGTTTTTCATTGGTTATTTGGGTATCACTGAGTTTATTATGGTATATCCAACTGTAGTTACGATTTATTTGTGTGTACTTGCCAATTATTAATGAATATTCCGTTTGGTTTCTATGACCATGTGACTGGCTACTTCAACTTTCACTCTGACACCTGCTGTCTAGGTGAAACATGTACCGTCATGCATATAGATTGTTCACTTTTACTGAAGCGGTTTCGGATGTGTAGAGAACGCGCTTACAGAGATAGGAAGCAGGATGAGATAAAAAAAGTTGACGTGGCAAATAAAGCTAGGAAGTTATCGCCCGGTTGATTAGTAAATAAAATAAGGATCGTTCAGCTGTAGCATTCTTCAGGTGCCTGGCTGCCATACCACTTGAAGGAAGTATGAGGGCCGAGAGACTGCCAGGTTGGCCAGGCGTAGACAGCACTCAGGATGCAGAGGTTATCTGGCGATCTTGAAACGCTACCAGGCAATAGGCCCTGTTGGGAGAATTGGGCGGGGGCGTTCGAATCATCTTTTCAGTAACGGAGTAAAGGTATAATAGGATCCATTTCGATAAGCAGAGCCTTGAATCTATAACAGCCACAAACATCCGCAGCGTGATGAACGATCAGGTATACCAGATTCTTTTTCATCTGGAGGTTTGTAAAACAGTCTCTCGGTATCTAAACCGTCTCTATGACTTCTCCTTTATTGATACAGGATTTTCTTAGTGTTTAAATCAAATCATTTGCCAAACCCTCGCATGCATAAAATTTACCGCTGACGGGTGCAATTGACCTGACGTGAAAAATACAATTATTGCTAGCTTTATTCCTCCGGTATAGCCTTCTTCGGCACTCCTCCTGCCTCTGCCCCAACAGGAGTATACGGATTCCCGTTATCCGACTGATGTTCAACTCAAGTGTCTTTGGGAAAATTGCCAGTATGTTGCTCGCTGTCTGAAGAACCTCGTGTCACATTTGGATTCTCACTCGCAAGGCAAGCGTGTGGCCTGTCCAACTTGCGGCCTGCTTCTATCAAACTTTAATAAGTTCGAAGATCACTTGAAACGACAACAAATACATCTGCTCAACAAAGCTGACGAAGTGAGTTCCAAGGCAAATTACGAATATCTTATCTACTCGCCATTTTTAAGGCGACTTCCTAAAATTCATTGGAACCACTACCTGGCGAACTCACCGGCCAACGTCTGAGGGTGTTGAGAGTCGAGGTGACATTGAGAGATTCGAAAAATGAGGTTAATCGCTCCACAATAAAAGGGAATTTTGTACACCCTAAAAATAACCAGCCCCGGTCAGATAGATCAGAAGGTACTACCAAAGAGTTTAATAAAATAAAGCTTGTGGTGAAATCTTGTACAGGAAACATACAGTGGTTTACAATGATATTGTTCTTTTCATTTCCCATCCCGGTACAAAATTGATCATCTCCGTGGTTTTCCGGAAATTTCGGGATTTTTCAGTCACAATGCACATTCAGCCCGAAAAATAACATATCTCATTCGTCAGCTGGAATCTGGTAATATCAGTTCCACAGCGTTTTACTACAGCATTTCATAACGCTTGACGAATAGAGCTAACGCTCCCATGTTGTATCACACAGATTAAGCAAAAAACTTGATCAATCGATTCATAATGGCTCGCGTATTTTTAGTAGTCTTATGAGCAGTATGAATTTAATCATAATCACCTCAGACTGTACTTGCAGAAGTGCCCACTCCCACGGCGAAACGAGTTCTCTTGCATAAGATAGGCAGCTGTTGACCTGATAAAGACTGTGGAATCCAAGTGAACTAACGACACTTCTATATTTTAGGGATCTGTGGTGATCGGTAAACCCAAGTCGCACAAAACAAAATGAATTCTGCGTATATCCAACAAGGTAGTCGCAAGACTGATTTACTTATGGTGACGAGTAACAATTGAACATTTGGCAGTTCTAAGGGAATTCGATGTAACATCTGAAATAACCCTAAAATTTGACAGTCCCTTCTTTTGTTTGCTTATTTGTTGCTAGATTGCATTTGAGCGAGTCAGGGTTGTGATTACCTAGGGATGTTAGTACATGCTGGCATGCTTTTTGCCGTTATGACAAGGGACATACGAATGTTCCGCTAAAATGTTTATTATAAGCTTTGGTACTTTTACACAAAGTTTCGTCACGTCTGATGTTTATTCACCCTTGAGTTGCTTTTCACTCCTACCGGACGAATTCGATCGTCTTAGCTAAATTTTTTATTATGGAATTGTTATGTACTTCCCTGTAGCCCAACTACCTCGGTCAGACCGCAGGACGTGTAAAATTGAGCAGTCACATGTGACACGATTAGTTTGGCCCTACGGTTGAGCATATTGCATCGGCAATGTGTGTTAACTACCACCAACGACGGAGTTGGAACACGAAGTTTGATTACACAGAGATGTTTACATCATTCCTTTATCCCCTTTAACTGGAACTTGTAGCCACACCCATGTCTGTCCGATGAACCTGTTTATCATGTTGCGGCTCAGTCCGATTGGACATCTTATGCTAACTTCAGTTGAAATTTGTATTGAATAGTCCACAGGAATATCGATCAAATAGCACTTGCCGTAAATTAGAAGGCTCAATTGTCTACCGAATCATTTTGTGCCAGCACCATCTCTTTCGATTTGCCCACAGGAATGGTGATCCATGAAATTTTCATGCTGTGTTGTGAGTGTGTGAAGGCACAGAGATCGCCATGGTAGGGCAATCCTTCAAAATTACTAGAAAGTAACATCTGTTTGCGCTATCCCACAGGTGATCGTACATGTTAATACCCTCGCGAATTTGGATTCCATACTTTCGTACATTTGCCCTACGAAAGTGTCAACGTGGTACAGTGGGTGAATATAACGTCCAGTTTTTAAGCAATACACAGTCACTTAAGAGCAAACTTGACTGTAAACCCGTTCGGCTACATATGAATGTTGTCATTCCGGTTAGAACTTCTGATCACAGGTTGAGATTAAGATCAAGATTAAGTCACCCAACTCCTGGCATATGGTGAGGTAACATATAAGCCTTCCTGGATACTCCCTGCTCTCAGCGGACATCCCTATTCTGTCAGCGAGTAGGGCAACCAATTTCGCCACCTCTTTGTCAGTGTAATTGGTTTTCTTCGCGCCATCTCAATTTATGGATTTCTGTGTTTCATAGGTAAGTATCATCTGATCAGAAATACACAGCGTATATCCTTTACAGTATAGGGGACGACATGGGGATGCATGTTCTGTTTGAACTCGGATAGTTGAGACAACCGCTTCTGGCGTTCTGGTGTTTTGACCAGTATCTCATTCTCTTATCTCTCCTATTTCTGCGTTAGTGCACTTCCATCATTTCCAATGTTGTTTCCACTACTTCATTTGAAATCAGGAAGAGACCACTGCGGAATTGCATCACTCTGTCAAACCCATGAGATGTAATCGCTGTCGACGTATATTTCCCACTGAGAAGCTCCTCATTGCTCATATGCAGCGCCACGTCAATACCGTTAAGTGCCCTTTCTGTGACATGACAGTGTTCGGCAAAACAGGTGAGTGTAATTATGCGTAGCTCCTCTTGCTCTCCTGATTAGTAGCCAACCAGTTTTCCTTCTCCAAGATTTTAAGACAATGAAAATCGATCTGGTAAATTTATTTTTAGTTGTTTGATTCCATTCTTATACTTTAACGATGTTCACATTAGTACCCTGTACCACGGTTGTGTAACGGATTCTTCAGTTGTAAGTCGCGTGGGGTAGAAAGGCAGCAATCGCGCGCTGGATGCGGCAGTTCATACCAGTTTAACTTATGCACTCGTTTGCATACCATTTGGTTTTGTTGAGAGGCTCATCTTAAACCCAGCTTAATTTCTCATCTATGACGTTCTCAACTGAATGGGCTGCACCAGGCTGCCTCATGTTTCACTTGGTACCATACTCGAGATATCGCGATACATTGTATAACCGTGATACACTACTCATAAGGTCGCTCAAAACTATTCGACAGCCCACGACCGGTTTCGATCTTCTTCGGGCTCATTAGGTATGCACAACCCTCTAGTTTCCGTCGCCCTTATGTCCTACTTGAACTCGACTTATGCACTCCTTTTCACACCAATTTGGTTTTGGAGGGTGGCTCACCTGAAACCTCGTTTGTGATGTTGATCGAATCTCGGGAACTGCACCTACCTGATGAGCCCCAGAGAGGGTGAAATAGATTGTGGGCTGTCGAAGAGTTTTCAGCAGTCTTGTGGCTGATTATTACGTTTAGTTTTAAAACGCTAGTACAGCCATGTTATTCAGAGAATCCGAAAATTGTTTATCTTTTCACGTTCCTTATGGCACCTGAACGCCATGGACCGCATGAATAGGTCATTTGTGTCAGTGTCCCGAATCATAATTTTGCCCCCTCTCAAAATTTAGTGAGTGAGTAGTTCGAACTTTTGTTGTCTGAACATGTTTGAAGTATGATGATGCGAAAGCGACTTCACAGATCGGACCGTACCATCTTCCACCTTTGGGGTTCTTATGCAGTTCGTCCATTTTTTTGACACCTGAATTAGCGCACTGGTTTGTCACGGATCTACTCTTCGTTACAACGAACTCTCCAAGTCGATCCTGTTGAATACCCACTTCATTCGCTGCTATATTTTCGCACGGAGTCCTAGGTCAGTTTCATGTCGTTGTCAGCAGTCGCTCTAATACTCCCTCAAATCGATATTCAATCGTCTAAGATTTTAATTCATGAATGGTTCTCGATTCACGGCTCTCATTTAGGCTGGTAAAAAATGATAATCACTCAACTGTAACACCCTGTCGGTGCCTAGCTGACAAGCCACCCAAAGGATGCACGAAGGCTGAACTAATGGCAGGTTGCTCAAGCCTAGATAGGAGCAGCCGGAATGCTAAGGTTGATTACGAACCACGGACCTTGTGATCAGTAAGTTCGCGCCTTAACCACTGAGCTGTCACCAGCTCGACCAGTCCGCCATTCGTCGGTGTAAACGAGTTTTATTGTGCCGGAATACGCCGTGCATTTTGGAACAGGCCATTGAGGAAAAACTTTCGAAGTTGTCCGAAATTGTCTCGTACTCATACTTCCTCATATTAACGTACAGCCTCCGTCGTACTATGGCCTTGACCTTTTGTAACATGACCCAGACAGTTAGTCAGTGAGCTATAAACCATGTAACAATGATATGTCAGTTCCAGCTTCTACGTCGGGGAATGGGACAGCATGTGAGATATAACGGGACATTTGAGGTGACGGTATGATCAGTTCTTTCGGAAAACTGGGTGGCTACGCATTGAAGGTGACAGCTTTGACGCATGAATGCCACTGACTGCGTGATTGAACCATTTCTGTCAGAGTCATCAGCCTTTGGTGGGATGTATCCCGGGGTCCCCATCCAGGGAGGCGGTAGTTGTTGACATGACTGAATTTACTGGTCACTTTACATATTTCGTTGTCCATCTCTTGGTCGCTTCCATTCAGCACACCTTTGGACAAGGCTGTGCGAGGCAAATGGTCAGGTGGCACGCGAACTGTATGCACTAGCTAGTGTAAACTATGGAGCGTGATTAGTCCATCTATCATGAGGAATTCGTTCTTCCTAAATTTATTTAGCGTACCACAGCGTTGCTAATAGGATGGTCAAACATTGTCAAGTTTAATACATCCACTGGGTTTCTATTCAGTTGAGAGGTATGTTTATCGCACCAGTGCTGTGTACTATAACTTTCAAAAACAGACTGACGTCACATGGGTGTCATAAATGCTGCTGTGGCTTTCTTGATTCCAGAATTTATTTCGTTTCGAGCCAGTCCACCGGAACTTGTAAAACTTCCCAGGTATACAAATTTGTGTGCCACATCGATTGACTGGTCCGCAAACATGAAGTTTGGTTCGACCCCACCCAGGCGTGAAGCGCATACCGAACTGTGCGACAGAATGATCTATGTTCAAAGCGAGCTGTTTATTTGAAGGGTCTGACAGCAATACCATCCGCATACTTACTACCTATGAACGAAAGCTCCAGGAGCATTCCCATTCCCGAGGTTTCAGGAGTAGACAGAGGAGTTTCAATCAGCATGTCACTGGTAAAATTTAAGAGGATTGGTTAGAGAGGGAAACCTTGTGTTACACCAATGGACACGGTCAATTCAGTGGAAGCTTGCTGTATACCTGTGCGCGCCCACAGGAGTTCGCATAAAGCGCCCCAATAAGAGATTTTGATGTGAAGGAAACGCCTTTCACCCTCAGCCACCTTAACGATCGACAGAGTCAGAGGTGGCTTCCAGCTCGAGAAGAACGACTAACGCGAGAGGCTTGTCTCAAGATAAGGATGTGGTGGATGCATCCTTGGCCAGGGCTTATCCCAGCTTGATCCTCACGAGTTTTTACTTCCTGACAGTCTGTAGAACTGCGCAAAATAGTGTCAGAGGGCAACCTGGATCCCACAGGGCTCCATTGCACTGGTGTTGTCTTTGTCCAAAATGTTTTGCAACAGGGTCATCAGACTGTTCACCAGGGTATCACCATCTTTGAAATGTACGAGCTGCGTGCATTATGGCGTTAGATGAATGATATTTTGACCCAACAACAAGATCGGTCGCATTGCGTCGTAAATGTCGGTCGTTTGTCGACACCGGCCCGGCATCACAAGGTCAAGAAACAGTTTTACCATTGGATAGGTTACCACAGTGATGATATTTGATCTACTGGTAGATTTTTTTATCACATCGATTCGCTGGACTACAAACGTGAATATCAGGTTTGATCCCACGCCCTCCTGTTCTGACACTAACTTTTGCGGGCGGGCAGCGCACACCAAATTATGTAGCACAATTTTTAACGGGGATTTCTTCCCGTCAGTAAAGTCAGTTATGCTGAAAAACCGAAAAACATTGTACAGCTGTTTCATCCCTAGTGCGCATCTAACGCAACTCATTGTTTCGAACCGATGGTCTTCCGGCCACTGGTTGATCACCTAACCATTCGGTCACGATCGGCTGAACAGCAGTGCGATTAGCTCTCACTTAGGCAGGGAATGTCGCTGATCTTCCTTCGTTTACAGAAATCACACCATGTGATCATGCACTGTTTAGCTGTTCGGGTGCTTATAGATAGGACCAATTAGGACAGCACATCTTCGGTTGATAGGCGCCGCCGTTGCGACCTGCGTCCACACCTAACCATTCACGATCGGCTGAACAGCAGTGCGATTAGCTCTCACTTAGGCAGGGAATGTCGCTGATCTTCCTTCGTTTACAGAAATCACACCATGTGATCATGCACTGTTTAGCTGTTCGGGTGCTTATAGATAGGACCAATTAGGACAGCACATCTTCGGTTGATAGGCGCCGCCGTTGCGACCTGCGTCCATCGAGTCAAAATTCCCCGTATACAAAAACCGCCATTTCTGGGTGCTGGACTGAATAACACTGGTTTAACACCTCTCTCAAAATAAAGATCTATCGACACATGACGTTCCACAGCTGTACACTAACTCGTCATGGTCATCATTGACGGCAAATCCAGATAAGGTTTCTGGTGCTTCCGGTACCGTACAACTATGTCGGTTTATTCGAATAGTCTTGTGGTGAAAAGAAGAAAATCTGGCAGGTAGGACTATCTTACCAGAAACATCCGAGGTGCCTGCACCTTCAACGCTCAGTCAGGAAATCTCGATAGAAACTGATAGCGTGAACGTCACTAACATCGATTAGGCGCCTCATCGTTCAGTGTCTCCGGCCAAGCACCATGAGAGCCACGTGAGCCCTATCCTGGAAGGCGAACAGCACCCATGGCATCCAAACTTTTCTTAACATCATTCTCTTCTGCCACCTCAAGTTCTGTCTCCTTCGAACTATAGGACTTACCAATCCACAATAACCGACGGAAACTTCAACCGAAACCGAGTGTTGAATTATTTTACTATTGGAAAAAAGTGCTTCATTCTTTGTCTGTCTTAACACCTGATGAACCTTATACTCTCACTCACTCGTATCGACAGCGGAACCTTCCCATTCATCTTTTTCCCCAAGTTTTTCTGGAACTCTATCCTTTTTTCGAACTCCGCGTGACGAAAAAGCAACCACAACAACAGATCCACAGAACATGGTAGGCGTGGTGAACCGGTCACTTAGGCTTTCTTTGTTTCAAAAACGTCGCACACGAGTTTCTCTATTTTGATGCATTTTTGTTTCAGAAACTAAATATCACCTTAGATATCTGTTTCTGGTGACCAGGTTTGTCTGAAATCCAGTGAATTTCCTGTCTAATGTAGTACGCCAGTGAAACTGTTGTGGCAAACTAGAACTAGTGACCTACTTCCCTACCCCCTGTTTCCTGTCTAACTCTGGGTGGCTTCTCTCTGTGAGTTGACCTGACTGAGTTTTCGTCGCTCTTTGTCAAATGCAACTCCAGTTTCGTCTCAGTCCACAGGCCAATGTCATGTACCTCCAGGTCCTTATCTGGTGTGCTTGTCGATGATGACGATAACTAGATTCTGTGCACAATACGAAAATGGTAGACAATCCAGGTAACCTGTGTAACAATGTTCGCTTTCTCAGGAAATCGTCGGTCTGAAACAGTTACTAATAAGCGAGATGCCACATGGTTGTACTATGTGGTGTTAATTCTGGTACGCAATCAAATCTGGATGAATGGGTGTAGAACTTGTTAGTACCTCGGTTTTCATTTTGTGTACAGTCAGCCGTAGCAGTTTTCAGTCTGCACAGATCAGTACTACAGACACGGGGAAAACGGTACATAGCCTTTTTTGGATTACGGTGCGCTGGCTGAAGTTGCTACATCCCGTTGTTTTGTTACCGCAGTAGTGGTCTTAAGCGAAGCGCTGCATCGATGACTCATGGTCGTTGCATCCATCCGACTGTGGAGCAGTTGATATCCCTTTTGAAACATCGCGCTAGTCTAACAACAGGAAATTCAGAGCACATAGTGAATGCGCAGTCCACAATGACTGCAAATTGACAAATAAGGTTCGCTCCTGGAAGGTGTACTTTGTTGCAGCAGTAGGTAGGACTCTTTCATCCGGAATATTCTCTCTTATCGTGCTCGGAAAACTTGAATGTTCACTTGCTTTTCATCATTTTCTTTCGTCCTCTTGTGCTAACTGCTTTGGCCAGACAAATAAACCATCATTTGCCCCACTTGTCTGTCTCTTACTTCCCGATTGTTTTCAGCACTTGACCGACATATTTTATTCCGTCACACTACTGAAAAACCTTTTGCTTGTGACCAATGTGAGTACCGTTGTAAAACCTTGACCGCGCTCAACCGACATGTACAAATACGCCATCAGAGCAAACGGCCGCAAACAGACAAAACGGAGTTCAGTTCGCGGACATTCATCCCCGATACCGATCTTGACAGTAAGCTTTTTCAGGTCACAATTTTTGGTGGGTTACCTCCACCGTAGTTGGAACAATTTTCAGTTGTCATATAGAGTCAGATAGGTCGTACATCGCTGTGACCGTCTGTCTGTTGGCTTCTATGGTCCTGTGTTGCCCTATGTGTGGTGGATTATTGCCAGGGAACCACCTTTTTTTCACGACCTGGAGTTTCGCGGATAGCGGAAAATTGACGGATAAAAATCTTTGAAAATGCCAGATGCATACATAGTTTTGTCGTCTTTTGGCTGACACTGATGTCATGCTGTCGATGATGATGATGATGATAAAACACTGTTGAAGGCACCTTGTATAGTCGGGACAGCCATACGGAGTAGCTTTATTGGTTATGGCCAACACTTTTTTTCGGGCATACATTTGGTCAAACCTTGCGTAATTTCAGTCACACTTCTATTTTTTAAGGATAGTAGTAATGACACGAACATATGCCTAGTTTGTAGAAGTTTTCCATCGGATTTCAATCCGAGCCCTTAGCGGACCGACCCATGATCGCAATGTTGCGAAACCACAACGATAATTTAGTGAGATAGACTGGCTCCAATTATATTACGACTGTACGACTGTGTTTCTCGTCTCTAAGTATGACCATCGGGCTATCACAAAAGACTTTCACCAAATTTTAATAGTTCTGGACTAAATGAGGAAGATTTGTGGTGGGAAAAGGAGAATCTGCATACCTAAAACAAGAAGTGCACACACATCAACCGCGACTACTTAGGTTTGAATTCGCTGGTATACAACACTGGAGGTCGAAGGCTAGGGCTCGGAAAGTCGAGAAATTCCGATGAGTTTTCAGTTTGATTCGATTCCCCCAGATATGAATCGTTGTCAGCAGCTTGCACGCATTATCGCACGCAAATTGAAATGAACCATCTGGGATTCATCACTTCTTGCACGGACTCCAGTGATTCAAACCCTACTCCGGTGCGTGCTACCCATAACTGTACCGGATTCTCCAACGTTCACATCAATTACTGACGTCTGGTGTTTTGAATGAACTCTTTTTCAGGTTGGTAGCTCAAATCTGATCGCTTCTTCCCAGGTGGATATACTTCACTGATTTTAGATCTCTTTGTATTGTCTTCCGAATCAACCAACTGAACGTAACAGACTTTCCGACCAAAAATGACTTAGGTGATTCAGCCCACTAGAGTTCGGTCACGGTCGAGCTTGTTTGAAGACGATCTTTGTCCGACTATTGCGTTATTGGAGCGCTGTTCATGGTGTAAACTTCCAAAGAACGTGATTGGTTCATTTCACAAAATTTATTTTGTGGGTATTCAGTCGACATAAACTTCCTTCCCGTTCTTATTTAGACTGTGAACCTACAGTGGCTCCAGTACTCGGACCGTTGGCCGCAGCCGGTGCGCTATCGATTCTGAACCCGACTCAGTCTAATTTGTTGAGCAAACCGGCTGCGATCCAAATGAAGCCACACAATCCTAATCATTCCCTTTGCCCCAGCCCACTACCTCGAACTGGTTGGATGCGTTGCACTCAGCCTGGATGCCGCTTTAGAACACTAAAACGCACAGGCTTCATGATACATATTAGTCGAAGACATCCAGATTTGCTCAACGAATTCAATGCTTCCCTCACGAAAAATTACGATCCCGCGTCGACGGGGGCTCTCTACGCTTGTCATTTGTGTTCAGTGATAAAACGGCGAGGTTTGTTGTATATCATATTCATCATTTCTGCATCTTGGGTGTTTCTCTATCGCCATTTGCCGTGTTGCACCATTTCTTTCGTTTATGAGGAGCATTATGAAATTCCTCACACATTCTTCGTTCCACCATCAACCGAGCTTCACTGTCTGACCGGCTAAGTTTTCTGCCACTCACTCTATAACCTCACCCTGGTCTCTATGTCAACAACCGAGAAATATTTCGAGATAGCTCAGTGGTTTTGGTGCGAACTTACTGATAGCAAGATTCATTGGTTGATTGGTTCGAAACCAACTTCTACATCTCGACTTCTCCTGTCTAGTATTAGCCAACCTGTCGATATTTCAGTTCTCGTGCTTCCTTCGAGTGGGCATGGCAGTAGGCACCGAAAGGGTGTTACAGGGGGGTGTTACGATGACTCAACAACTCAGTACGGGTGGTACACGATCATCGATCTTCTCGCAAAACCACATGTTGACGACGAAGCACTTAGCAAGGCAAGTACATAATTCCGCATAAATCGGAGCCCACAGAAATGCAGGCGCTATTCAGTACAATAGCACAGGCCACACGCAGGACTCTTTAAGAGTGCTCCCTCTTGGAGAATCAACTACTAAAATGGCTTATGCAACTGTCGAATAACCCTTGGTTTTACTAGTCCGATGTCCTGAGGAAATCATGCAGTTTTGCTTTCGTTTTAAAAAGTTTTCTCGGTATCCAAGCACCTTTTAAATGCAATTCCTTTACAACAGAGAGTAGCTAATTGAAGCAGAAATGCCGATTTTTTTCCATGGCTTCTCCCGGCTTTCCAGACTATATTTCTTAGAAAGTTGCATTTAGTTGTCCTCAGGCGCTCTCAATATGCTACTTTATTACGTGGTGTACAATTTATGGTTCAGTTTTCAGGTATCGTTACTATTCCCATGGGAGAAATAGCCATGTGTGTTGATCGACCGAACAGTAGATACCCTGTTTTGGGTGAAGCAAACGTGAACCGTTCGCACGGAAGTATTCTATCTCTTTTGTATTGTCCGCAAAAATATCTGCCAAGTTCTGCTAACCGTCGAGACAACAGCTACTTCAATGATGGCATAACAGTGTGGTTATCAGCCTCACCTGCAATGTTTTCAAGTGGAGTTCACCTGTAATGAAATCTCATAATAATTGTTCTTGAATCTGATCATCCTTGTTTGTATATTGATCCTGCAGTCCGTTAGTCTGCCCTGCATACAATTCAGCGCAGTTGAAGAATACCTACAACGGCCATTCGAAATAGCTGAACTTTTACGGTTGACCAGCTCCTCCAATCTTTGCAGTATTTCGCCAATCGTACGTAGCTTTCTTGGTGGGAAGATTGCTTCAAGAAGTGCTGTGGTTGCCTGTCTCCTACGGAATACAGCTCTGGTTTGTATCAAGTGGTAGACATCAATCTAGTAGGCTTGCGATGTTCCTCTCTGTCGGGACAACGCCTCCAGTAGTTGTATTAATTAACGCCGGTTAACCGCAAAGCGGAGCCTTATGTCGGTTGTGGAAGTTGAAGAGCAGTTTAGTACCGGCGTTAGATTCTTACCCTCCATCATTATCGAAAGTACAACGCCATTCTTTTGGCTAAGATGCCAAAAAGACAGGCTTGTTCTTTGCTCATCTTCAGAAATCAAACCCGATTAGAAGCGGACTGTTTCATTCTTTTCTGACCTCACTCAACCACTCTATTCATTATCTTCGATGGTGCCGCTATTTCCCAAATTCCCCGGTGGCGGCTCCAAGTACTTTCCATCAACTGGGTGACGTTACATTGAAAATTTCGTGAGTTGAACGATGATTGCCTTTAAAGATCTAGAGATTCCATAGAATAGAGCGGTGCATTAAATAACTACACAACCGGGGATATACTGTGAAATACAGCATGTTCCACCGATCAGAACAACTCAACAAGTCCGCTCTGTCGGCGTTGTAAGGCGCACAACTCTGTGAAATATATTAACCCCGAGGCTGTTTTTTCAATAACATGGAATCAGAGTTACCAATAAGGCTGAATTCGCTGTGTGCATCTTAGCTAACAGTGGTCAAAAAGTCATACCCCGACCTTCGGTAAAGTCTACTTTCCGCTTGTCGTTATATCTGACACCGTGCTTTATGGAGGAGGTCTTCAGTGCAGCTATGTGCTTGACTTAGATCCCGCATTTCCGGATTTGGTATTCTCAGAAATTTTTGGTTTTCTACTTCCTGATATTAGCCAGCTGACACCGGACTCACCCATCGTGTAAGCCATTGTTTTCATATGGATGTTGTTACCAAGAGACTATCACGATGAAAGGGTAAGTTTGGTGGCTTCTCGTCAGAGTGACCGCACGCATAATCATGTTGCATAACGAACGCTTCTGCATACACCCCACGGGAACGACCTTTTTTGAGGAGTTTCTCCTAAGGGCATTACGTAACATATTAGTCGCAAAAGTCGTAAACACGATTCATCTGTTCCTTCTGAATGTCCGACGTTCTGCTCATTAAAACGGATTCGCTTGTTATGTGAAGCACGTTAGGGAGATACAGTTGATCAGTCGAACCTCGGTTTCACTACTGACTTCAGTTAGACTTCGCTCATTACCGCCAAGGTTCTTTTTAACTTCTGGCGGTTGTTTCAAGTTCTGATGGTCGAGTTTTCTATAGGTTTTCTCTCTCTAGTCCCTACCGTTGGAAACCATTAATTTTAATCCAGCGTGTTGCCGCAGCCGCTGATTGCACTTTCGGATTGCAGTGTGCTTATGCAGACTCAATGTTTTGTGTTATATTTGTTGCGCAGGTTGTAACCTATAAAAGGTGGATGTGACGCTTATCTTTACACTCCACTGGTGTTTTTCCTAGGTTTTGATCTTTCTCGGCATCTCATGCGAGACCACAATTTAGCTCGTCCCTCTGGTCACATGCGCTTCACCTATGCGGTTTCCGACGATGGTTACTATCGACTTCAGCTCACTCGACTGGATACAGTGCCTGTAGCCGCTGCTTTACTCGGTGAAACTGTAGTGAACAAGTTGTTGTCGACTTCTGCTACCAGCTGACACAGGTGGTCCTGTTTTGGGCGCTTGGCAGTTTCCATTCGTTCCACACGGTTCTTTCTAGCTACCCATCTATTCGAGTAGCTTTTTTCTGTTGTCGACTCCATTTCTGTAGTTGCCTCATTTAACGCGACACTCACTTGTCTGCACAAAGCCGCACATGTCATTAGGTGAATACTCCCCCGGTTTTACTTTCACGGTTAGTGTGAACAACCTGAGATAATTTCATTCAATTGTGCTTCTGCGTGCATGTTTCATCATTATGCATGTTGTTATTCCATCATTCTTGTGAAAACGATTTGGCTTGAGAATACAGCCTGTTTTCAATATCGGGGTCAGACTTGTTCGTTGACACGAAACGGGTCAGTCGGGTTAATATAGGAGAATAACCACTGAAGTACTCTGAATAGATGTATATCGCGCCCTGCGGTGGAGTGGAAGAAAGTGGGTCGTCATTGCCGAAAACGGATTTCCTATGCACCTTTTGTAATCGTGTAATGATGCGCCGTCAACAAGGGTTGTCACGAAAAAGCCTACGTATCTCTAACTGCGTGGTGTCTTTTCCATACCTGATACCTATTTCCACAGACTATCCGATTAATCTTTCTCATGCGTAATTCTCACTGTAAGAGACCACCCTGTTCCTAATCTCCCCTGGTACTTTTGTACCGCTCTACACATGGATACGAAAACTTGTGTGAGTTCATTGCAGTGTAACACCTCAGTTCTCCCAGATTGCAAAAACAGACTTGAAACACCAACAGGTCGTTTTTTTGTAGGAACCCCTGTTTTCAGCTAAACTGCCGGGTTTCTCTACTAACTATGCCATACTAACTGCTGAGGTAATTCTAACTTTGGTGGTATCGTGAAGCGGTGAACATAAGATTAGGTCAAAAATAATCCGAACTGCAATGCGATGTTATGATTTTCGACAGAATATTTATCTACACCTTCCCAGAAGTAACATGTTTCCTCGTTTTTCTGTAATTCTGCAGTTGTAGGTGTTGTTAAAATCGGTTGTTTATAGTTATCTAGGGGGTAATAAATTGCTACCTTTACGAGTATATTCTGTAGTTGGTGAATGACAATTCCCCTGTCGCGAAATTTTTTTGGATCTCTATGGTCTAACAAACTTCCACGCATGAGTTGTTGCGCTCGAATTTAGGTTTGCTCGAAAGCATCAGTCATTGATAACCCCACGGGAGATCACTTGTTAAATTGCCTGAAAAATAGTTTGGGGAGATGATACAGCATGTGAAAATGATATGAGTGGGACTCAAGTTCTTTGTTTTCATAAAGATAACTACTCAAAAGTTTACTGAAAACTCTTCAACAGCCCGCTGCGGGTTTTGCGCTTCTTGGGGCTTATCAGGTAGGCGTAGACCCCGAGTTTCCGTCAACGTCATGTTCCACCTGAATCTAAATTGGACATATCTCGTCAAATACATTCATTTGAATATCAACTGGGTTTGCACGACTGAATCTCTCGTTTGTGCTATGCCCCAGCTGAGTGTGCTGCATAAAGGCCGCCTCTTGTTTTAGCTGGTAGAGTATTCGAGATATCGCAGTATAGTTTCGTAAAGGAAACTACTCGGAAGCTCACTGAGAACTCTTCAAGTGGAACATAAGGTTGAGGTACACTCGGCGACTGCGCCTATCTAGTGAGTCCCAAGATGGGCGAAACTAGTCGTGAGGTGTCAAGTATTACAACCGAGAGATTTAGCTTTATTTCTCAAGAAAACCCATTTGGTGTGCAAATGAGTGTATTTGTCAAGTTCTTCGTTCTGCAGGCAAACACGTCTGGATTTGCAGTGTACTCAAATGCATCATTCAAGTTTAATGGGAAGCGTGGGGTAGAATTATCTACAGTGAATTAAGGGGACTGAATAGTGCCAACAACTTTACATAGAATTTTCGCGCCTTCTCAATACCCAAGACTGGTAATTATAGAATACAGCCGATTATTGCTAGCGCCTGAGTGCACGAATTCGGCCAGAATTTTCCCTTTCATGTAATTTAAACCGCTTTCGTTCGACAGTCTGTCTAGAAAAACATCCAATAATCTGGTCATTTGAGCCACTTCTATCACTTTTGTTGCCGCATAAACAAGCCATCGAAGATAGCAGTTTCAAAAATAAAATTGGCTGTAATATTGCCACAGATTACTGAGACGTATATTGACCAAAATTCATGCACTATCACAAAATGACGTTCCAATGGCGCGAGTGCGTTCTCGAAATAATTATTGTACGATTGCGCTTTCATACGCTGTTTAGTTTCAAACCGTAACACTCAAGGTCTCGAATATTCGGCGTAAACTGACATTACTCTGCATAGCGAAATCCAAGACTTAGATTTCCAAGTCAGCTTGGCGCGATTAATAAGTCACTGGAATATCCACCACTGACCAAGCACCAGCTGACTTCATGTTTAAAATAGTTAGTTTTATTTTGATGAAAAAACAGCAATATATGATAGAGTGATTTTAGTGTATTGACATTCAATGTCCAGGTGTCGAGCTTTAAGAAGAGCAAAATTAGCGTCTGATGCTTCTATTTGAATACGCAGAATACAAGAATTGCTCGGAAAAGAATGTTGCTGGTTTCAGAATGAGAGATGTCCGCTAACGCATTACCATTTTTGCTTTCTTATTTGATCGGAAATTTTGATACCGTTAAGCGGAATGAGATCGCACTTGCGTGCACCAAAAAGTCACTTCAAACTGTGAGATTCCTTTGTGTCCATGCAGATAACCTCTCGTATTGCAGAAAATAAGCACAACTCAATGCTTCATATGAATGAATACTTTCTGGAATAAAAGCATTTTTATCTTTCTTGTTACTCCAACTTTTTCTACGCCTGCTGGGGTTTTAAAGGACAGAAGATCTTGAGTTGTGTCAATCGGATAAGGAGCCAGCAGAAATTTCACGCAATGGATGTTCACTGTTTTGGGGTTTTATGATTTTCTTCCCACTGATGGAGATCTTCAAAACGCAACCTATTAAGCTATACTTTGTTATGAAATATAAAATAGAGAAATTAGCAGACTTTCCGTGTATCCCCCACAGAATTGATAGACCCCGTTCGTTTAAATTACTACAGAATGCTTTTCAGATTGAACGGATTACTACCATGGGATCAGCGGTCATTTTACAATGGACTGTGATTAAAAAAGCTGAAATTCCGATTCCCATGACTTACCATTTTACAAAGTCATCAACAAAAATACGATCAAGCAAACCAGTGCTGGCTTCTTACGAAATGTGAATCGATTCCGCTGCATTCGGTTGACTGTGGTTGATCGTCTCTCTCTTCAATTCCGCTTTCTTTGTTTTTACCGAACGGTAGTTATTGGTCCGCAGCTTTGCACACTGGCAACAAGTTCCGTTACCCTGAAATAATTCTGTTTACTTTGAACGCTATTTTTTGCTACGAAACTGCTAGCGATACAAAAGTTATGATGAAAACGTCATGATGTAATGCGATCTTAATGCAACAATGTAGTATAACACTGAAACAATACAAAAATATAACTATATGATATAAAGTATAATGTATACCATGTGTGCCATTTTATAAAATACGCTATAATATAAAGAATATAATCGAATAGAGAAACAATACAACAATCAAACAACAATATATGACAACACTACAATGGTGTGATAATAAACAGTATGAAACATGAAACTGAATCTCCTCCAGTGAAAAAGATTGCTCAGTACCACCAGAACATCGAACCTTTCGACCGCAAAACATTACTACCTTGCTAACTCCTTGATATGTGATATAAGCATATGAGGTTTCAGAAGAGGCAAGGTACTAAAAAGGCTCCAAAAGACGGTCTGCTAACCACTGGTTGATGTAACTTGAAATAAAATTTGTCCCTCTGGATGCGTCACTGATTCTCATTAGGAAATAGAGTACTCGCATAACAGATGACCAATAATCGGAACATGTGTTAGCTACCAATGCGCCTCTGAGCGGTGTTGTGGTGAGGGTTGCGCGCATTCAGTCGGAAAACGATCAAAGGCTCAGACGTTTGCTTACTTGTAAGTAGTTTGGAAATTACGTGTTCCCGTTAGAAGCCTATTTTCTCTTGATTGGTGGCTCTTAGAATGATGAAAACTAGGAGCTATCATATGGGTTACAAAACAATGTTTCGGTCAAATCTAAGTGCTTTGTGAGAACCCCTGTGATGGAACTACCTCGCAGTTGCGGAAAAACACCGTCTAAATAAGTGAAATGTTTTTCACAAACTACATGCAACTCTACCCGACAGTTAAGCTGCAGTGTATTGGGTGCACGGTCCATCATTGAATTTCAGTTACATTACACACTATAAACAGCCAGACAATTTAGCTTATCTTCATACACCAAATGGTGTTTTGGTGAAGAAAGCCAGATAGTCCCTTCCTCGGGTTATACTATATGGCTGGCGCATTTGTTTCTGCTCGTTTTTGTGAAAAAAGCTGACTGCACGGTCAAAGCATAGGATCTCAACCTCATTGTGCATAACGTGGGTGATTCCCAACAAGGGTGACATACCTGTTGCCTATTTCTTGACTTTTTTACTACAGACCGATTTTCGTTTCAGAGTACGAATCCTACTGAAATAATTTAAGCCAAGTAGGACATTTTGCACCGATTTTGAACATATGACAAGGTCGTTTCTCGTCTATGAGCTATCAAATAATAAGCATTTCCCCATTTCCTGTTGTTTTTCTTCTTTTCACGGTCATCAGAAAGTTGGAGGATATAGGTTGCAAGGTGTTGCTATTTCGAATTACCTGTCAGTGGTACAAAATTTGTGAGCAACGGACCTAAGAATGCCGCGGCATTTTCACCAAACAAATATTACTCTGAGGAAAGGGGTTTTTCAGGTTCTGTTCCGTCGAAGTTGTATTAATTTAGGGAATCATTTTACGCGTTTGATTCAGGCTTTTGTGCTTCTATCAATACTTCTGGCAGTTTGGGTTTCGAATGCGTAAATCTATGGCGAAGGGAAAACAGTTTTCAGCCAGGCGGTCTGTTGAAATTAAATTAAATAGATGGAATTCCAAGTTATTCGGATAACGTAGCCAGAAGAATGCAAATACAGTTTTTTTAAAGCATATACTAAAAACAACAAATTAAAAAATTCTCCCTCCCAGTCTATAGTTACAAGCAGAAATATCCAACCGAAAACATCACACTGCGTTCATTTCATGTCTGTTTTTTCCTTTTTCCACTAGGCTGTCCTCTTGTCGTTCACTGATAGCGAGCAAGTTATCAATAATTGATGAGGAGGTTGTTCAGTTGAGATATCGCAGCTTTTTCTCATGCACTTTTGTCG